CCAAAAGAACTTAACTTGTTAGTTGTTCCTAAGCCCAAAACATTATTAAAGTAGAATACAGAACATGCTCTGTTTCAGAACTAGGATACGTGCTCTATGTTCCTATTGGCATTCACAAAATACAGGAACAACCCTGTCTGCAAATGTGAGTCAGGTGAAGACTTGGGGATACTTTATGTGAACAGTGTGGCCAATTGCATGTGAGGTGGACCAAAAAACATGGGTCTTTGAACAGTGACTCTCTAGTGACTTTATTGTATGTATTCTCACCTGACCAGTGAGAGATCCAATGATGCTTCAGTTGCAGAAGCAAAAAGGGTCTCAGGGCTCATCTTCCTTAGGTACATATTTAGGGGAGAGAATACCTCCCATAATCCTTAACTCTCTAAAAGAAAATAAAACCCAGGACCACATACCCCAACAGACAAAATGTATTAACAAAGAAAATATACAATTCGTAGCATTCTTAAAAGAAAATATTCACAGTAACACCTGGAAAACAGGACCTTTTGTGGACCTTATTGTGAACAATTTAATCTCAAGGAACACATGGAATTTTAAATTACTAGAATGCTGTTAATCATGGATGGGTACATACTCCTTTTGTTTTAACTGGCCAGGTGTATTTCTGTATTACTATCTCTTCCCTCCTGCCCCCACATTCTCCACCATTGGGATTCTGTGAGGGCTGGTGCAGGGCCCTCTAAAGAGTTAGAGTATAAAGCCATGACAATGGTTGGAAGATAAAAAAACTCGTAGGTAACCCCTGACACTTTAGAAAATACCAAGGGACAGGGCACCAGACTTCATGTGGAAGCCACTGGTTTCACACATGTCAACTTTTGAATATATTTTTGTTCAGCTCTTGTAAGGCTGGGTCTAAATTAGACAGCTGCTTTAAAAGCATATTTGTCTTTTATGAAAACAAGTAACAAATCACAGAACATGTAAGACACTTATACTTACACTGACATCTACAGGAGACATGGATTGCCATGATTGATGACAATACAAAAACTTCCTATTTAAGGGGAAGGCACAGACTGTCAGTCCCACAGCCAGGGAATCAGAGAAGACATTTCTGTAGGGCTTGAAAAGTAATGTTTTGCTTTGGAAAAACTTCTCTATGCTACTATCAAATGCTTTGAAAACAGAACTGCCTTTAAAAGGATTTTTTTAAGAAGTCCTTTATGATCCCAAATCATTCTTCTTGTCTTGTTTGGTGTCACCTGACAGCCCAGCCATTTCTTCATATGATAGTTAAAAAAAAACCCTATAAGAACAAATTTAAGGCTTAAGTCATGCCTACTTTTTATTTGTTTTCAAATGTATATATTAAAAGGCAGGTTTAGATTTGGCACTTCAAAGAAAGCAATCAAATTTGGTTGGACTCCTATCTGCCTGTATCATATATAGAATTTTAGGAGGGAGAGGCCTGAGGGTGAGGTAAAGATTTAGTATAGATGTCACTAAATCATACACACTGGGAATTAAGAGAGAAAGTAAGAACTATCTAGGTGTAAACCAATCTGCAGTATAGTAAACCCCTTTTGAAGGAAGTATTTGTCTTAAAGGTAATTTACATTTCCCTACACAACTGTTCGAAAAAAAGCCACTTTATAAAATATTCTCATAGAAAGATTTCCCAATGGTATATCAAAGCCTAATTAACATCAAGAAAAGGTGTTGTATGTTTAATAAAAGCTAGTATGTAACAAAGATCTAACATGAGTAGTCTTAGTTATTAAACTCTCCTTCTTCTAAAAGCATCTCTTAGAAAGACTTGGATAACTTTTGACTAGAAGTGTTCTGAAAAGGTCTTACTTGCAATGAAGTGTGAGGTGTATCTCAAACAAAGGGCGTTTCATGTGTTTTGGCAGGCAGTGACAACTGACTTGCTGGTAACTGAACACAATTTCTAGGGTAACTTTCCAAAGAGACACATGTCTAATATATGTGCCACAAGCTTTATATTCTTGCTCTGTTAGTTATACACAGTTTCGGGTTTTCCTTCATATAGCAAACCCTATTCCCAAATTTCTTCTTTAAAATGTCTAATTGTTACTTGATTTTGTTACTTATAATTATATTATTTATTACTGTGATAATTCTGTCAGTCTATCAACTAAGTAAATAATTAATACATTTTTAAAAGGTGTCCATGGAGAGTCTGAGTATGGCCACAAGCATAAGAACAGAGCCTACCTCATGCTTAGAAAAGATAAGCAGTAACTCCAGGCCTGTGAACCTTGTGTAGAAAACAGGCAGAAGTCAGGTTAGTGGATGAGATGGTGACAGATGGTTAAATACCTTCCTATTTAAGTAGAGCAGTCATACGAGAATGGAGTTTCTGCTTCGGGAACAGGAAGAGTAGGAAAGTGGGAGAAGCGGTCACATTTTTTTCACAGCACGGGTGCTATATCAGAGTATGAAATGAAAGCCATTAGATCATTCTTTCTAGTATTCCTGGCAACTTACTGTAGTCTTCCCCCTATTGCTGGGTTCCTAACTACAGATAGCTACTGGGCTTTCACCAGTGCATAAATATTTGGATTCCACCTTTTTCTTCTCTCAGATTTTTAAATCCAACTATAAAATAGAGAGTTCTTTAGTGTTGGGAATAAATAGGGAGTTTTCACAAGGTTTTCTTTAGTTCTGTGTATGTTATAGCCAAGCAATAATGGAACATGTTGGAGAATAAAAGACCAAACAAATTGACCTCACATATATTGAGGATGAAATTGATTCTATGGCCTTAGATACTCAACAAAATAATGTAGTCACTTATCAGTAAAGAACTGTATTGAAAATACCTTCTATTCACTATTGATTAATTTTGTTTTGGATCTAAGAAATAAGGTTGAGTACTGGGTACTGGCATCATACAAGTCTTTAGAAATAAATCTGAGACTAACTAGTGTTTTATAGAATTTGCAAAAATTCTTGCCATTTTCCTTCTTACTTGCCCCCTGAGAAAAACTCGACTAGAATATTATCCCAGTTAATGGACTGCAAAATACAGACTTGGAAATAGAAATGGGAGAAAGCCTTGGATATAAAGCCAGGCCCAATAGGCTTGCTTCTGGCAGATTGGAACTGTCATTCTTTTTGACAACTTCCTTCACAAAGCCAGGGTTAGATATAGTCTCCAGATCAAAATAATGTGCACAAACCCCATTTTTTCTTCCAGAAGACGTCAAATGACAACTGGCAAAATCTGATGAATTAGGTTATATAAGGCAAGAACCAAATCATATCAAGAGGGGGATCAGAGAAGATACAAAAGGAAACCATCTTAATGCTTTAAAATTATAGAATCAAGGGAGACATCAAGATGTAAGTTAAAAAATGGCCCATATTTACAAATGAGCAAAATCCAAATGAATTAGTTCTTTAAAAAGAATTAAAGCAGTTAACAAGAGGAGATAAATTTTAAAATGGTTGTCATTTATGCACTGAAAAAAGACAACTAAAATGATTTAGAGTTCTTCCTCTAAAGAGGAAGGCTGTTGAAGGTCCATAGTTTAGTTAGGGGTAAGAAATCAAGGAGCTATCCTGGCTCTCCTCTAATTTAAGTTAAATTAAACACTTAAATTGAAAAACACCTCTTTTCAGAGAAAAGCACCTAATGAGGTGATCTTCTAGCAATTTCTGTGTTCCCAACTAGATGTGATAGTAAATAGAGATGGTTCTTTAAGACACTTAAATTTTTAGCTTAAACTAGACGTAGAGTATTTGAAACAGCATCTTCGGTAAGGACCTAGATTCTGTTGACACTGAGAGTTATAGAAATACTGACAATATATAGAGCATGACCCAAATTGCCTGAAGCCTATCGTACCCCTCAGCATGTGAAAGTAGCAGAACCATGGCTGAATATCCAAAAGTATATCAACCCCAAGGGAGAAAATCTGGTATTTGAACAAGAATATATTCCTTTCCCCAGGAGTATCTGGATCTGCTGTCAGAATGCACTATTTTCAAAAGTTTACATTAGCACAAGGTGACAAACTTACTAGATTTTAAACATAGTGCCAATAGTATCTAAAAATACACAAACTACATGTGATGTCTAAATAAGCAAAACCACTGGTCTTCATAAAAATACCTCTAAAAAGGCCTATTTTATAAAAACGCAGATGAGCACATAGACCAAGTCTCAGCCATGGTCTGAAGCACTGAGATTCTCAGTTGCCTCCTGAACTGATGCTGAGAATGCTTCTAATCAATGTTATTAATTCAAACCTTACAAATTTGAAACTGATAATTTTAATTTGTAGTGGATTCAAGTTTACCTATGGGCTATCTATGGAAAAGGGGATTGGCTGAGTATTATAACAAGACCTTGCTGTGGTATGGGTTGGGGAGAACAAGTGTAACTTAAGAAAACTTTCCTTATACCGTATGTTCTAAACTACCAAGCATGCATGCTTTCATGCTAACAGTTAAGGATCACTTTTATTTATTTCTCAGGCAAACGTTGGTGTCTCTATTGGCAATGTTAGCTAACATCCCATAAACTAAGCACACCTGAAAGTAAAATTTTATTTTAAAATATTCTGCAATTCACAGTTACCTGCTACACACCATCTCTCCATACCCTCAACAGGGTCTTTATTGTCCACTGTGACAATATTTCTACTTCAGTCTCTACAACAGTGAAAATGGAAAAGTAGGGGAGGTTACGCATTAGGGAAAATAGACAATGGAACAAGCTTAATAAGTATCTCAGCTGAAGGCAATATTTCTAAAGTTAAACCCCATTTAACAACAACAACATATTCTTCCTGTTGCCTACATTCCAGACTGTTTAACATGCATATCCTGGTCGCCTAATCAGTTAAAGCCCTAAATGTCCCTCTTGACTCTTAAGTGGGGGGAAGGGTGCCCTGGGTTCATTCACTTAAACCAATTGGAAAAGCATCATAGCCCTCTTTGGGACAAAGATCAATTGTGGCTGCTGCAGGTGTACCTAGCATGGAAGCAGATGAGTAGCTAGCTTACTGTTGCTTGGTGCAGTCTACCTCCTTGGTGCTGGCCTTGGAGATGACTATGTCCCCCAAGATGCCCATATCCCCAGAGAAACTCATTCCTCCAGAGATGCTGCTGGACTCAGACATGCCTATATTTTCAGAGAAGTCCCTGGGCTCAGAAATACCCATGTTCCCAGAGTTGCCAATGACCTCAGAGATGCCCATGGCCCCAGAGGATTCCATAGCCTCAAAGATGCCCATGTCTCTAGAAATGTTTGTGTCTCCAGAGATATTTATGACCCTAAGGCTGCCCACAATCTCACAACAGTCACGTTGGAGGTCTGCACACTGGCTTTTTACTTGATCCAATCGAACTCGAAGGCCTCCTTCCCTGGACAGGGTGCCATTCTCCATCAAGGTATTCAGGTCTCCATCGATACCCAGAAAGCTGAGAGGATTGGTCAAAGGATTTCCCAGATGCTGAGATAAAAAATTCCCTAATTGAGAGCAGGTACAGACCTCTTCGGGTGGCTCATCACGGGCCTTCAGTTTCTGTCTCGGGAGCAAGGGATGGTTGAAAATAATTAGAAACAGTAGAAAATTAGGCAAGCATCCCATTAACCTGCAGGAGTCCTACTGTTGTCACTTATATGATAGCAAATGATCTTTCGCCCCCACCCCCATGTGCCAGGAACATTACATACAATATTTCTTTTTGTACTTGTAAGAAAACTATTAGTTAGGTATTAGCTGTATTTTACAGATGAGGAAACTGAGACTCAGAGAAGTTAAATAAGTCATCCAAATTTACACATGTAGGAAGCTGAGAACTGGAATCTGACCCTGTATCTTCTTAATGCCAAAGTCTGTGACCTGTCCACTATTTCAATGCTACCTCCAATAGATATTTTTACTTTCAGTGATAACACAATGATTCACTGATATATCACAACAGTGATTTTGGGGGGTCATAAGACCCTACTGAAAATCTGAAGAAAATGATGGACTTTCTTTTTAGAAGAATGCATGCATGCACAAGATAGCACGCACATATACACATACACACAGTTTTTAGGCATAATTTTAGAGGGTTCACAGACTCCGGAAGCCCATCTGTGATTATCTATGGGTACAAGAACTCTAGCTAAGAGTTCTGGTACAGGCATATTATTTTTATTTTTCTGAAAATCTCAAAATTATGATGATTTGTAATAAAAACATTAATAACCTTGGAGAGAGGGACTGGATGGTATATGGCTAGAAAAGTCTTTTAAACTTTTCATTTTGTATCTTATTCTGCATTTTCTCACTTTATACTTGTACTGATCGCCTTAAAAAAAGTCAACAGGGTTGTCTGAGTGATGTTATGGACCATTTTTATTTTTCTTTGTATAAAAAACGAAAGTTAATTACACACATACATACACACATTTCAAAAGGAAACCTTTTCAGAGAGTGATCTTAGTCTATCTGAGATGAGTCTGATTCTCTGAGGAATCAGGCAGGGATAAGTGAGAGGGCTGGGTCTATAGTAGGGGTGAGCTGCTCTTGGGCCCTTGAGGAACAAGCTGCTAATAGCTACAAAAGGAGGCAGTAGGCCCTAAGAAGTTTCCCTGCATCTAATTCTGCCTAGGACTAGGCTTCTTGGGACTGCTTGTTTCCTATGATTTTAAGTCATGCTTCATTTTTTTCTCTCTCTCTTTTTTTAATGGAACCAAGTAGGTGGCTACTGCTTCCCAAGAGGACATTAAAAAGTTTTGGATCTGATATAATCACAACACATATATTTTCACAATAAAAAATTGTTTACTTATAAGGAGCAGAAAAGCTGTGCCTTATCTGGCTTAAAGTGGGTTCACACCCATTCCTAAATAGCACACCTTTTTCAAGAATTAGTTTCTAAGAGGTACCCCTCCCATCCTTCAAACAAACCCTTAGGAATTCCTACATTCCATAAACAGTTCATCTTATGGAATCAATAATAAATTCTTGTTGACTTGTACTTAAAAACAAGTATCCAATTTTGGTTTTGCTGGCATGGTAAAGCAAAATCAACAAACATAGCATGACCACTCAGTGAATAGAGTTTGCAATCTACATGGGAAGGAATCTTTTATAAGATTTTCCTAATTGGTAATATAGCAGTTTCATGTATACCCAAGATGTTATACTTATTCTCTTCATGGATAACAAATACCATGTAATTTCCCTGTCATTTCTTCTTTTCTCCCTAATCATTATGCCCAGATGCAAAAAGAGATAAAGGCAAACAATCCGCTTGTTTAACTAGGGAATGAGATCTTTACCACACTTTGGGAAGTAAGAAAAAGAGTTATGCCCAAAGCTTTGTAGACACAGGACACTCAAAAGTTGAAGAATACAACAAAGCCAGCCAGGCTGCTTTCCACAAATATAAATTCAACTCCAAGCAGGCTGGGCTTACCTAGAAGGGGCAACAGAATCTCTTTTTGGGACTTTTCTCCTCACCTTTTCCAGTTCCTGTACATCTGCCTCCAACACTGCTCTCTGTTTCTTAACTTCCAGGAGGTTCTCCAGCATACTCTGCTTGGGCTGTACCCCTTTATCGAAGCGGTTATACATCCCACACCAGAACCTTAAATAGACAAAAGGAAAAGTTGATTAGTTTAGTTGGAGGATTCTATTACCAATATTTTCCTTGTGCTGAGAAAATATCAGCCTGGTAGGAGAGGATCTGAAAAGTAACGGAATTTGATTACGCTTAAAAGACTGGGCATGCTCACAATTGAAGATAAGGTTCCCAGCAGAGAGATCTCTGCTGAAGGAAACACTTAAGACTTAAGCAAACTTGAGGTTCTTTTTAAAAATCAAATTGTAAATTTAATTTGAATTTGTTGCCCGTGCACTCAGGAACATCTGCCATTCTTGGGGCATCTCTCAGGAAAAAACAGCAGAGATCAGTTGTCTCTCAGCACCTACCACCTGGCCTACACAACCACCTGCAGCAACAGGCCAGAGACTGGCAACAGGGGCCATGGAGAAAGTGGGTAGGAAATCTGGAGCTGAGCCCTGCAGCAGATAAGATGTGGGCTGATGCTGTTTTCTCTGTCTTGGAACCCAACAAAGACCTGCTCTAGCTCACCCAATTCTGACCAGCCTGCACTCTGAGACTGAGGGGTGATCTCTACCCCTCTGAGATAGACCATAGTTTGCCCAGAGAGGATTATCCAAGTGCATGATACTAGGGAGAGAGATACCGTGCCCTGCCACACTGGATCAAACACAGACATGTGCAATCAGAGTGGGAGACCTAGCAGCAGATGAGTTGGGATGAGTCCTGATCTGATTCACTCCCCTTCCCCTAACAATCTGGTGGGGGATTGGACCCATATGGAAAGCAGCCTGATTGACCTGCACTGAGAGCAGAGGGGAGGGTCTAGAGACCAGAGCCTACTCCCAACCATGGATAGTGAAGAGTGGTGGTACTGGAGACATGCCAGTAAAAAAAAATAAATTAAAAAATTTTTAAAAAGGAAGGGAACCTTAAGTTCCAGAAAAGGCCACAAGAGAAAGCTCCTTTGCTTTTTGCTTTGTTTTGTTTTGTTTTGGGGGGGGGTTTGCCCACTTTCTCCATACATATCTTTCTGTGAGTATCTTCTGACTTGATTTGCCCCTTTTTTCTCCCCTCTTTTATTTTGGCATATGGCTATATTTAAAGGAGTGTATCTTTGACATTTTGTTTCTTTATTTTTGTTTGTTTGTTTCTTTATCTATCATTTGTGTGCCTATTTTCCATCTCCCTCTTTCTCTCCATCTCCCTTTCTTCTCCCTTCTTCTATTCTCCATTCTTTTCCTTTTTCTTATCTCATTTTGGTTTCATGGGGCATACATACACTCCCACAACATGGAAATATTGTAAAGTTAGGGGAAGTGGGTTCCAAGAGGCCCACACACCAGTCTGCAGATACTGTGATCTGCAGGTAGCTTCTGAACCATTTCAGAAGTTTCCCCCATTGAACCTTAATCAAATCTCAAAACTGCAAAAACAAAGCACAGCCCCCACCCCCAGCCAGCCTTCAAAACTGAACAAATCCAGAGGATTTACCCAAAGAAGAGTAGGGGATTGAGCAAACAGAAGTGAAAGCTATTCCCCCATCACTTAGCAATGAAATTAAAGAGAGGGAGGGAGGAAGGGGAAAAAAGTCTATCACAAATGAAGAAGAATCAACAGAAGAACACAGGTACCATCCAGACCCCTTGAAAGACAGTGCCTGAGAATACAGACTTGAGAACTCAAACAATGAAGGGCCCCCAGAATGACTGGTCTCAAACCACAAATCCAGATATCAAGGTATTGATAGAGAGGATGAATAGAAATGAAGAAAGATAAAAAGAATGAAAGAATTCATAACTGAAACAGTGGCAATAAAGAAATACAGCAAATGAAATAATAACAAACTGACAAACATGGAAAGCAGAATTCACCAAGCAGAAGAAAGAATCTCAACCCTAAGATTGAAATATGGAACTAACCCAAGCTATTAAAAACATAGAAAGTAAGCATAAAAAGATGGAACAAAGCCGCCAAGAAATTTGCAATTAATGTATATTAAGAAGCCAAACTTACAATTGATCAGCATTCCTGAGGCAGACAGGGAGACAGAGACCGCCTTTGACATTCCATGAGGTTATCCAAGAAAACTTCCCTTATCTCATCAGAGACACGACCATCCAAACACAAGCGATTCAGAGAACCCCCACAAGTCAGAAGACCAACTCCTAGACACGTAGTAATTCACTTACACAAAGTAGGTATAAAAGAAAAAACCCTAAAGACAGTATGAGAGACAGTTCAGACAACCTACTGGGGAAGACCAATTCGAATATTGGCAGATTTATCTACAGAAACACTATAAGCTAGAGGAGACTGGAGCCCAATCTTCAAAGTATTCAAGGATACAAAATTCCAACCTAAACTTCATCAGTTAAGCTAAGTTTCATCAGTTTGGAGAATTCAAATCTTTCCCAGACATTCAATCCCTAAGAGTTTATGCTACCTCCAGACCAGCTCTACAAGAGACACTTAAGAAGGTATTAAGTACAGAAGAAAGAAAAAAAGAATGACTACATTCTTCCCAAGAACGCAGAAAAACAGAATAAACACAAGCATGATGACTGCAAAACTGAAAATGCACACATATACCAAAACAAAAATCAAAAGAAAACCAAATAAAAGAAAAAAGAAAAAAAAAAAAGAAACAACTAAGTGAACAACAACAACAACAAAGAACTTTATAAGAGCCTCATGACAGGGATAAATCCTCATATCTCAATAATCAGCCTTAATGTGAATGCACTAAATACACCACTAAAGCCGGGCTTGGTGGCTCGGCCTGTAATCCCAGCACTTTGGGAGGCCATGGTGAGTGGATTGCCTGAGCCCGCGGGTTCGAGACTCGCCTGGGCAACTTGGTGAGACCTCATCTCTACAATAAATCACAAATTAGTCAGGCATGGTAGTGCATGCCTGTAGTTCCAGCTACTTGGAAGACTGAGGCGGAAGGACTGCTGGAGCCCAGCCAGTCGAGGCTGCAGTGACTGGGAGCGGCCACTGCACTCCAGTCTGGATAACAGAGTGAGACTCCAACTCAAAAAAAAAAAAATACACCACTGAAAAGACATACAATGGAAAGTTGGATTAAAAAAAAAAAACTACAGTCCAACAATTAGCTGCCTCCAGTAAATACATCTCAACACAAAGGACTCTCACAGATTCAAAGTTAAAGGACAGAAGAAAACAACTTTTCAGGCAAGTGGAACACAAAAAAGGACAGGAATCATGATCTTGATATCAGAAAAAACGTTTAAACTATCAAAAATTTAAAAAGATATAGAAGAACGCTACATACTAATAAAAGGTTAAACTATCAATAAGAAATATCCATCCTAAACATATATGTACCCAACACAGGAGTGTCAGCTTTTATAAAACAGCAACTAAATAAACTAAAAAAAAATTGACTATCATACCTGGGATTCAAATACCCCACTAACAACCCTAGATAGATCATCAAGGCAAAACGTCAACAAGGAGATCTGGAACCTCAACTTGACGCTTAACCAAATGGACTTAATAGATACCTACAGAACACTCCACCAACAGCCACAGAATATACATTCTACTCAGCACCACATGGAACATACTCCAAGATTGACCACATCCTCGGCCATAAATCACGCATAAACATATTTCATAAGACTAAAATACTGCCATGCCCCTTCTCAGACCATAGTGGAATAAAAATAAATATCAACACAAACAAAATTTCCCCCAAACCCAGAAAAACATGGACACTAAACAGCATGGTGCTGAACAACTCCTGGGTCAACAAAGGAATCAAAACAGAAAGTAAAAGATTCCTGGAAACAAATTAAAATGAAGAAACATCTTACCAAAACCTCTGGGATGCCATGAAATCAGTACTAAGAGGCAGTACTGAATTTAGTACCAACTAGTACTAAATTCATATCTCTACAAACACACATCGGGAAAACAGAAAGATCACAAGTTAATAGCCTAACAAAATCACCTAAGGGAGATGGAAAAACAAGACCATCAAAACCCGAACGTCAGCAGAAGAATCCAAATAACCAAAGAAAAAGCTCAACTACAGGACATAGAAGACAAAAATATCATAGAAACAAACAAAAAAATCAATGAAACAGAAAGGTGGTTCTTTGAAAGGATAAACAAAATTGATGGACCCCTAGCCAGAATGATCAAGAAAAGGAGAAAAAAGCCCACATAAGCACAATCTGAAATGCAAAAGATCAAGTCACAAGTGACCATAAAAAAATACAAATGATTATCAGAAATTACTGTGCACACCTGTATGGAAACAAACTTGGAATCCTAAATGAAATGGAGGACTTTCTAATGTCACACAACCTCCCAAGGTTGAAACAGGAAGAAATTTAAACCCTAAATAGACCAATAACAACCCAGGGAATTGACTCTGTCATAAGAAAACTACCTACAAAAAAAAAGTCACTGGAACAGATAGCTTTCCAGCAGAATTCTACAAAACATACAAGGAGGAGCTGATACCAATCCTATTTAAAGTATTCCAAGCAATTGAGAAAGACCAGTGCTCCCCAAATCATTTTAAAACTAACATCACATTGATACTCAAACCTGGTAAAGATCAAACAAAGAAAGAAAACTCCAGGACAATATCCCTAATGAACATAGATGCAAAAATTCTCAACAAGATTCTAGAAAATTAGATCCAATAACACATCTGAAAAATCATCCAACATGACCAAATAGGCTTCATCCTTGGGATGAAGGGCCATTAAATTACCAACATCAGCAAGACCATAAACGTAATTAAATACATCAACAGATGTAAAAAGAAGAACCACATGATTATATTGTTAGACACAGAAAAAGCTTTTGATAAAGTCTAACATCCTTCTTGATAAAAACCCTTAAGCACCTAGGCATAGATGAACATACTTTAAAATATTTAGAGCCATCTACCACAAACCCATAGACAAAATATTGCTAAATGGATGGAAATTGAAAGCATTTCCCCTGAAAACCAGAACAAAACAAGGCTGCACACTCCCACC